TTCCATATTACTTACTATTTTTATCCAAGAATAATTGATTAATTCATTCAAAAAATCTTTGAAAATAGGCAATGAATTAAGCAAACAAAGCTTAAATAATTTAATCTTTTTGTTCTTTTAAACTAATACCTTTATATTTTGTAATAGGCTTATAGTTTAAGAGCAATGAAGAATTTAATAAGATAATTAGAATATTTCTGCAAATGTCGATTTACAATTTGCATCAAAATACAGTTACATTCTTTGTGAGTTACATTCATTTAAAGTTACTTTATATGTTAATTATAAAATTCCTAATTAAAATTATTTTATATAAGATAGATAATTTAGTTTAGAAATAGTTTATTCCCCCAAACTATTCTTTTTCATTTTCAAAATTTTTATAATGGATTAAAAAAAATAAGAATTTTTTTTACGGTCGTGAATTTTCACTCTATAATATAATACACTCGTAATATACACTAGTAATATAAAAACGCAATTCCTATTCGGAAGATACGCAATGTATTCAAATTACTCTCTAAATTATCCAGAAAAGATTTAATAGCGATAATAATAGAAAGATAATGCGCTTCAGTTACATAAGTTGATATAAGTAATGTAATAAAGATAATCCTATAAGTTAGTATGAAGCGTAATGGCAAAGCTGATAAACGAGTTCATATAAAGTCATTATAATAAATACAGGGTGATTCTTAAAAGATGGGTAAAATTTTAGGAAGTGATAGTACACACCCAAGCAAACAATTTTTATCAAAGAATGCGTGGTCGAAAACGAAACGCAAAACCGCTAGAGGATGTCAAAGTTTATGTTCTTACATGAGGCAAAAACACACAAAGAACGATGAAGTTAAGTTATAAAAGCAAGTTTAATGGCATGTAATTACAATAAGTGTTTAAAACAGTGGCCGGCAGCGGCTATGCACGCAGTACAATGGCGAAGAAAAGATAGGGCATATCACTAACTTTCCCTGCAGCGGCCAAAGGCTTGGCGACAAGTAACGCAGCGCAGTAAAACTCGCAACAGGAATGGAGCTTTCACGTTTGCATCAATCAACTTTCCAAATGCGCCAGCACCTTAGCGTTTTGTTTTCGACCATGCATTCTTTGATAACAATTGCTTACTTGGGTGTGTACCATCACTTCCTAAAATTTTGCCCATCATTTTAGAATCACCCTGTGTAACAAATTCATTTTTAAATATATATCTTCCAAGCGTATAAATTTATGCTTGTCTACTGAAATACTTCATTAGCTTAAGAAACTACAGTGGAAAAAATCGACATGTTTCGAACACTCAAAACAAGATTTCAATCAAACACACAAACTTGAGCAGCGATGGCTCAGGGGATAGAGCGTTCGCTTTCCAATGAGGTGAACCGGGTTCGAATCCCAGTCGATACGAATTCCGCATCCGGCTTGCACCGACCACAGTGCTGACGTGAAATATCCTCAGTGATAGACGGATCATGGGTTAGAGTCCCCTTGCCGTCAGGCTAACCTTGGGAGGTTCTCGTGGTCTTCCTCTCCATGTAATTCAAATGCGGGTTAGCTCCATCAAAAAGTCCTCCACGAAAGTAAATTTCACCCAATACTTGATCCAGGAGTTCCCTTGTCTTCTGGATTGGGTTCAAAATTACAAGGCTACGGAGTTGAACATTAGTACTCGTAAACCCATAAAATTGGGTCAGCTGTTCAACGACTGTTATAAAGCACGCAAACTTTATGGAGTAGACATTTTTTAACAGTTTTAATCCATATAAAGTATGCATGAATCTTGATGCTCAACACCATAACTTTGAAACATCAATCATAACTTATAAAGCAAGGAATTCGTAAAGCATCAGGGATAATCTAGTTGAGAAACATCGCTATAAATACACCCACTCAGATGTCTTAATGTTGAAAATTTAAACTTCATTCCCAATGATAGCTAATCTATTAAAACTTTTTGCTGTAAGTGCGATGACAATACGACTATATCAACATCATCCGTACTATTCAAACCTTGGATGGAGAAATTTCATTAAACATATTTTTCATACTTTCTTCATTATTTTGTATTCAATTAAGTTAAAATAAGTGAAAATTATTGTATTTAGCATTTTAGAAATTTATGGTTATGAAATACAGCATACGATACCGGTACCTTTTTTTTGTGATAAAGGTAAATCTTCCTAACAAGGCTCACTTCCAAACAAAAATTTTTCACGTTTGCACTCATTTGCAGCTGTATATATCTAAGAGAAACAATTATTTGTCGTAGAATTTTTTTTTTAAATTGTAAAATCAATTATTAATAATTTTTTCAATATGAATGAAAATTTTATTTTTTCAAATTACTTTTTTGGATTTCATATTTTAATGCAAATATAATTAGACGAAACAGATTTTTTATAGTAACTATTTCACTGTTTTTTTTTTATAATTGAAAACACCAAGATATAATTTTACTTGTAATCAGTACGTCTGCAAAAAAATTATACGAAAGGGACACCTGTGTCCCACCTGCATCAAAGGGTTAATAGCTTCTTATTTGATTGCTAACGTCACACTAGAGCTACACTAATTGCCTATTGGAAAATGTTTGACAAATTTCTTTAATTATGATACTTCAACAATATTAGTGTATACGCATGATACACTACCGCAATTGAGATCGAAGAGCAGTTATTGGCANATAGAAAATATAATATTATTCATATTTTATTAAATGAAATTTAAAAATATAGCTTAGATATCTGCCAAGTTTGAGCATGCTCAGTGTGCATAAGAAAAGAATCAAAGATGATTCAGAATTCATTAAAAAAATTATGAACAGATTTGGACAGCAAACAAGACGATTACAATTCATGTTTGATTAAGCAATTTTTTAATTTTTATGAATCAATTATTTAATTATTTGTTTTTGAATAAAAATATTTGTAATAAAAAAATTTATAATAAAATTGTTTTTCTGTATCACTTTAATTGTTTTTTTTTTTTTAAAAAAAGCCAGGGGGTGCAAATGCACCCTCTTGCACCCCCCTGCCGGATCCCTTACCCCCAAATTTTACGCAGAAAGGAAATTCATTAAAAGTGGGCTCCGTCTAAGACACTATTGGAGAAAGCGTAGTTTAAACAGTCAATCGATTGTGCTACTATTTAATATCTTATTGAAAAAATAACTAACTTCAAATAATGATGTGAGCCGCAATTAGTTAAAATAAATAATTTTTCATTAATGAATTATGTGACACATTATAAAAATACTGAGTAAAACTAACAAGTTTAAAAAAATTATTAACAGTTTTTCTACCCATTTTACTCCACACGGAGAAATAATGATGTGAGCCGCAATTAGTTAAAATAAATAATTTTTCATTAATGAATTATGTGACACATTATAAAAATACTGAGTAAAACTAACAAGTTTTAAAAAAATATTAGCAGTTTTTCTACCCATTTTACTCCACACGGAGAAAAAATTCGTATAAAATTACCATACTGTAAGCTAATGACATTTCTGTTAAAAAAGAAAACTTAATTTTGGTAATAAAAACCAAAATATAAGCTATTTAATCTTTTCATTTACTAATTTCTCTGTACATATGGTAACGGCTTATTGGAAATTCTAGTTTTCAAAATTATAGTTCTTATTATCACGCATTTAGTAAAATATAAAAAACTGAAAAGTAAATTTGACCGAATAAATAGCCCCTTATGCCATGCTCTAAAGTATCATGATAATTTTACTAAATTTTATCACCTATCATAAAGCTACATTTTTATAATACTGGTTAACTGGAAATTCTATTTTTCAAAATTATAGCTACTATTATCACACATTTAGTAAAAAATACGAAACTGAGGAGTAAATTTGGCCATCAGGATAATTTTACCAAATTTTACCAGATTTACCAAATTTTATCCCTATTGAGAAACTACATTTTTATAATACTGCTTAACTGGAAATTCTAGTTTTCGAAATTATAGTTCCTATTATTACACATTTAGTAAAAAATACAAAACTGAAAAGTAAATTTGGCCGAATAAATGGCTCTTTATGCCATGCTCTAAAGTATCATGATAATTTTACCAAATTTTCCCAGATTTACCAAATTTTGTCACCTATTATAAAACTACATTTTTATAATGCTGGTTTACTGGAAATTCTAGTTTTCAAAATCATAGCTCCTATTATCACACATTTAGTAAAAAATACAAAACTGAAAAGTAAATTTGGCCAAATAAATGGCTCCTTATGCCATGCTCTAAAGCATCATGATAATTTTACCAAATTTTACCAGATTTACCAAATTTCATCACCTATTATAAACTAAATTTTTTTGTTAATTTACTAAATTCATTACCAAAGCACATCGATAAAATTTACCGAGCTATTTTGTGTTCCCATAGAACTGTAAACGCCTCAAATTTTATCAGATTCTGGAAGTTTAGACGATAGTTTTTTTTAAGTGCACTCGACTATATTGAGTTTCGCTGCAAATGGTTTGAAATTTCAATTTGTTAAGATTACTAAAGAAAGTTAATCTTGAATATCATGTTATTTTGCTTTTTTTTCTTACAACCGTAATGCAGTGCAATGAAGCTAAGCAGAGTATTAAATCAAAAGGTATTCCAGGTATGAAGCTAATGCCTTTATTCGGTAAAAATTCATACAGCTAGGCATCGATTCATAAATCATAAATCACGGTCACATCCTTCTTTAATGAATCTCTTTCTGATATGCAGCTTTTAGTATACTCCGTTTTTAATTAACTGACCATTCACGGTTCTCTAAAAGCGAGACGGACGTATCAGTTTGTATTCGCGTCATCCTTCAATTGTTGAGCTCTCAATCTAATTAAAATTACAATTTTTGAATCTTTGAGTTAAGGAATAGCTCATATCTGTTGATTCCTTTTTGTGGATTTTACGAACGATCTGTCTATAACATTTGCTGTTTGTACATATGTTTGTAATGCACAATATGACTGATTCTTGATTTTTCTGTACAGTTAGGAATTCGGAGGCCACGACGTACATGGATAAAAGAGTTGGTTTCCTGTGTTTGATTTCTCTGTAATCGACGCTGAGTTCGAAGGATGTAGCTGACTTAGGTGCTCAATATTTACATATAAAATTATTTTTTTTCGAACCTTAATTTACTTGGTTCGAATTTGAACATTTTTAAGTGTTCTGAAACTCCATCTGAGAACTATGGGAAGCTGGGAGGAAGACGACAGGGTCAACATAGGCACGGACGATGAAATGGTATGTTCGAATTCTTTTCTTTGTGATGGTATTTCTGAAGTGTATAAATTACTTGAGATTTTTTTCAATATTTTGAATTACGTAAGATCTTGAAAATAGATTAATTATCACTGGTTTTTACTTTTTTTATATTTTAGCATGGAGTTATTTTATTGATTATTTTGGAACCTATTCTCGTGAATTTTATTATATAATAATAAATAATAAAAATGTTACATTTAATGAAGAACAATAAACAAAAAATGCCATTTCTTTAACTCTAGATTGCTCAAGGAAGTCATTTTGACTGCTGTTTAACTTCAATTAGAAAAACTATGATGTATATAATGACACAATTTCTTAGAATTTTGTGACTTTTATAATTATTTTTATTGTTGATATTTACTAATAGCTAGTTATATAACTGAAAATAATATTAAAAATTAATTTTAAACAAATTTCTTTATACATTAGTTATTCTTTCACAATGCAGTCATTTTGACTGCTTTTGGGGCAATATAGGTATTTCAGTCTTTCTAGTGTTAAAAAATATAATATGGCACATGTCAGATAAAAAACATTTTTTGGCAATTGGTATCATATGTCTTGATTGGTGACAACAAGGATTGCAATGATTGAAAATGATATAATAATAATTTGTCCATTTTTTAATTTAGAAAAATGACGCAATTCGTGCGGATGAAAGCTAATTTTTTAAACTTTTATTTAGAAAACGTATCGAAATTCAAAATTACTATCACTCCTATTAATATTATGCTTCCACTTTTGTCTATAATCCCTAATGCTTAAAAACATTTCTCCTAATCAATCAAATCATTAGAAATTAATACATTACGAATGTATGCTAGATTAATAAATAAGTGTTAAATTTTTGAAAGTTAAAAGCTATAAAAATTCAGTTACAGATGCCTTAGTGAAGTTTCACATATATACATAAAATGTTTAAGGTTATTTTTAAATTTTGTAAATATATCTTCAGTTGTAATGTTTTGACGATTTCACAACAAATAAAGTTAAAATTTTAAACACTTTTTTACTTGTTAAAAAAATAGCTAAGTAAATTATAGTACCAATACACAATGTAGTTCAAATCAAAAGTCTTTTTTTTTAGTTTACATTTATTTACTATTTGAAATGATAATTTTTTTCTCATTGACTTGTAAAATATGCGTGTTTAAATATAATATTTGGAATTGATTAAATAGAAATTAGAATCTTTTTTATGACTTCACTGAAATATATCATTACAAGAGAGTTTCTTAATTAACGTAATTTTGAGATTTCATTCTTATAAATTTTTCTCTTCCATTCTAAGGTCAGAGAATATTTTTAACGAAAAAGAAAACATTTAAATTTTTGAATTTGAGAAAAAAAATTGTTTAAAGTAGGTATTTAATATATTCGACATGATAATTGCGTCAAAAAAGAAACTGTTTAGTAGTATGTCATGGTATCATTGTTGATACTTATATTCTTTTAATAAAAAATCTTTATGATTTGTAAAAATTGTTAAGTTTGGATAACCTATATTAGTCCCAAATGCTGTTCGTAATTTTCAATTTTGAAGCGTTTTGTTCCTGTTCAACTTTTGAAAAATAAATAAATCTAAGCTGTTCAGACTACTTATTTCTTAATCTTTTTAAATCTCTGTTGTTCGGAATTTTGCATCTATATCCTTTCATTTTGAGAAAATATCCACTTATAATAATTAATACTCTCGTGCGCATGAGCAGAGAAATTTTTAATCCTTTTTTTTATAGTTTAAGTGAAAGTTTTCTGCACGCATGTGCCAAGTTACGGAAAAACTACTAAACAGAAGCCTAATAATATGATTAGAATACCGTAAATAGTTAATAGATAAAAATAAAAATAGATAATATAACTTCAATTTTTTTACTTGCTTACCAGAAAGAAAAAAATTACATAAATACATTATTGTCAGAATTTGAAACTCAAATTCGAACAATGAAAGATATATTGAAGCATTGTATGCATTCAGGCATCCCAATGACTATATTCGATTCCTATTGTCATAGTTGAGACGAAAAAAATATAAATAAATAAAAATTCCAAAATTCCTAAATTTATTTTTCAACAATAAAGTTTGTAAAAATATTTATGATAAAAATAACACATACATCGTAGTGAAAATAAGTTAAATTAATTTCTAAAATGCTTATTTTTGATAATAATTTTAAACATTTATACACTTTTTTTTCTGTAACAGCCTTTTCCCTTCTCCTAGACATTAAAACTACGCTTCGTAGATTCTTTTCCTAGACACTAAAACTACGCTTAATCGATTCTTCTTCTAGACATTAAAACTAAACTTCGTAGATTCTTCTCTTAGGCATTAAAACTACGCTTCGTAGATTCTTCTCCTAGACATTAAAACTACGCTTCGTGGAATCTTCTCCTAGGCATTAAAAATACACTTCGTAGATTCTTCTTCTAGACATTAAAACTACAGCTCTAGATATTAGCATACACTTCGTAGTAAAAATAAGCTAATTTCTAAAATGTTCTTTTTTCTTTAATAACAATTTCTAACTTTTATACGCTTTTCTGTTACAGCCTTTAAATTTGGATTTTTGCAATCACATCTAAAACTTTAAAATGAATTTAGAAAAAATCTATTTTCAAAACGAGAATAGCGTAATAGTTCGACGTGCAATTGTTTTAAAGGAAATTTTCTAAGATTTCAATTGTAATTTAAAACGTTTAGAACCTGTTTTTAGAAAAAAACTCGATATTTGATTGCTCTAAATTCAAAGTTTATAACAGAATTTTACTAAATGACCCTAATAGAATAGATAGTTATTTGATTTAAATTAATTTCTTTAATTGTTTCTGATGACCTTAAGTATTCGTTACAATTGCTTGCCCAATTACAGGTGACTTGCGGCAGCCATTTCAAAAAAAAAAAAAAAAAAAAAACTCTAACTGAATTGGTTGCAATCCCAACTGTAAATAAAAAAAAAAGATGACTAATTTTTTTTTTGATAAAATTAAAGACATATTTGAAATATTTAACTTCTTTTCAAAATGCGAAATTTATAAAATTGCTTAATATCAAAATCTGTAGGCTTCATGGAACAAATTTGAAGAAAAGAAGCAACTTGTTATTTGATTTTTTTTTCTAGAGAAAACTAGATCCCAAATTTAAAGAGTAGTAGCCTTTTTCATAATAAGAGTTGCAGAAAAATTTGATGTCGAAAAATATATAGGTTTAATGGCGCAAAATGCTAAGTTCTAAAAAAATTAAATGAAAAATAAGACTTGGTATTTGACTGATTTTCCTTAGAAGATTCAAGCTATATAGAAATTATTAAATGTCAGAAAACATAATTTTTCAGCGCAAAATTGAAAATAAACAAAAAAAACTATTGTTTGACTGATTTATCGATGGAAAATTAAAGTTAAAATAAAAAGTTTATGGCATCATTTAACAAAAAGACATAAGTAAAAATTATTTATATTTAAAAAGTTGTGTGTTTTGAGGAGCAAATTTGTAAAATTGACTCCTGACTGTTCTTACAATAGTTAAAACTTCATCTTCCCTTTCATCAAGAGCCTCAAAATTAAATAAAAATTTCGTAAAAAAAAATTAAAAGATAATTTGTCTCGTTTCTTTACAATTTGCGAACGTCTCAGGAATCAATATTTAGATCAATGCAAATGAAAAATACTTCCAAGACTGTTTGACTGTCTTTTTATTAAGGAAGCCATTTAAATAGTCTTAGAAAGAAACCCGTGTAAATCTATCGGTAAAATCAGACTCTGTTTTTTACAATTCCTTAACATTTACCAAATAATTGCACAATATTTATTTAAATCAAATTAAGTTTTGTTTACATTTAAATAACTTCTTAGATTCATATGTAATTCTTAGTTGAAGTTTATATATATAAATTAATAAATCACTGAAGTTTAAAGCTTATGAAGGGGAATTACTAGTTAAAAAACTAAACATTGTTCTGTAATACTTTTTTCAAAAGTTGGAGACTGAGAGTTGTATGTTAACCATGGAAGAATGCAATTAAAGAAAAAAATTCTATGTTCAACAAAGCTACATTGGTTAGAAATATGTTATTTATTTTTTTAATCAAATTGGTTTTCAGCTTCAGTGTTTGTGAATAAGAAAAACGTTTTTGGAAAAAAGGCCGTTTAAAGCTTACGAAATCTAATTATAATCTAATAATAAGAACAAAGTTCGGCTAAATAATTATTATTTATTTTAAATATAGTTTAATATGTTTCAGATATTATTGATAACACTAGAAATCGCGAGAGAAAATTAATAATAGAAATTTTACTTAAAAATTAAAATTCATTAATGATTTAGTAAGTTATAAGTAAATTTACAATATATTCTTTTGCGAAGCTTGATATATGAAGGAATCTCGATGCACAAAATCACAAATGACGAAATTGTGATATGCATAGGATACGATTTAGATTCATAATAAATTCATCTTAGAATTGATATCTACAGCTTTCACACCGAAAAAAATTCTGTTAAAATTACCGCATTGTAATATAATGATATTTTGGAAGAAAAAAAATAAAACTGGTTAATAAAAACAAAAAGTACGGTATTTAAGCCCTTCATATGGTAATTTTTTCGTTCATATCATAACTGTCAAGCAGAAATTCTGGTTTTGAGAATTATAGTTCTTATTACCACTTACTTATTATAAATTGCAAAATTGAAATGATAAATTTACCGATTAAATGGTTTTTATGCCCTTCCCTTAGGTAAGGTGATAAAGTTATCAAATTTTATCACTTATACCAAATTTCATCACATATTATTTAACAACGTTTTGTTGTTAATTTTATCAAAATCATGTTTCCAAAGCACTTCGGTTAAAATTACCAAGCTTAGGTACACTGTATATTTTACCATATTCTTTTTAGTTTTGAGTACACTTTTTTTAAGTGTTAAAATAACTCTGGTGCAGGATATACAGGGCCAATCATAGAATTTCTTGCAGACGTCCATAAATTTTTTATTTTATGTATATTCTATCTAGAGTTTTTAATCCAATGCATTTAAGCAGTGTTAAGCGCCTAAAGAATAATGAGAAAAAATCAACAGTAGCGTACTAATTCCATTATAACGGAATGCACTTGATTATAATATCATATAAGGCTGTTTTTTCATGTAGAATTCTTTTTCGTTTCAGATAATACGCGGCTTCAGACGGTCTTATCCAAAAATTATTCTAACATGGATTGGCGTGATTCTATCCTGTGGTCTTTTATTAGCAGTATTGTCTTGGAGGCGGCGTATTTTTATGAAATTTACTCATAAAAGATGCTCTTTGGCCACTGCTGAAAAAGTTTTACTTATAGTAAGAATTGCTGTTGATAATTATATTATTGCATTTCAATTTAATTCCCTCATTATTTCTAAAGATTATGAAGTTGGGCTTCAAGAAGTTTAGGTATTTTTATGCTACTTTTTACATTTTGTTTAAGACTTAACATTAGAAATGTAAACAATTGCATGATTGACTGGAGAGAAAGAATTGAGATTATGTAAACTTATGTCACTTTTTAATGACATTAGTTAAAGTTTTTATTAGTATTTCACTCACTTATAGTTATACTTTTTAGTATTTTATTTTAGTACTTATTAAATCTTATTATTATGTTTATTAAGTCACTGTGAAGAATTCTCGATCAAATTACTATAAAATTGTGCCAGCAAGTAGGGTGCCGTTTCCTTTTTACCGTACAATTTTACAGAACAAAAAATCTGATTCACCGTAATTTCGAAAGTAATATTTATTGTACAATCACTGAATCTTTTTGTAGTTAAGTAATCATTACTGTAAAATATACGAAATAAAATTTTACGGTAAAAAAGTACCGCGCGTTTCGTTACAGTTAATGTCTGTTAAAAAGTATAAGCGGCAGAAATGCAACTGTAAAGTTGAAGTTTAACGTGCTGAAAAGGCCAGTTATGTTTTTGAGATAAACACGTACTTCTTTTTGAAATTCCAATTTGACCAAAAGTTATTGTAATTAAGTGCATTTTTATGAATTTTTTCTCTCACTTTTTTGCTTTTATCTATATTTGTTTTGCTGTGCAAAATCTCTAAGACTTAAAAAAACTTGGAGTTTCGAATGTATGTTCGTTGTAGTGAAATATACAAAGAGTTTGATGAAATTAAAAAAAAAAGGGGGGGGTATAATTGGGCTATAATTGAATAAAAAAATAATTCCCAGCTAATTCTAATCCCACCATTAGCTAGTTAATACGAATTCTGCATCCGGTTTGTAATGACCACAGTGCTAACGTAAAACATTCTCAGTGGTTGACGGATCATGGGTTAGAGCCCCCTTCCCGTCAAGCTAACTGTGGGAGGTTTGTGTGGTTTTGTTCTTCATGTTACGCAAATGCGAATAAATAGTGATTATATTGTCGAAAGAGGTTATCATTTTAAATTGCTAATAAGTAATATTATATCTCCTATATGACTTCTTATTGCGTGCACATTCCGTATTTTTAAGTTTCAATATTTTTTTTCAAGTACAGCTGATTATTTTCGAAATATACGCAATCGCTCATTTTGTTATGATTAACATAATAACAAAATGTTCTGACATAAAATTATAACAATAATTGATTTTATAAACGAAATGATTTAAGCAAAATATCGAAAAAAAATGAATGAAAGATCATCAAAAGGGTTGGTGTGGGGAATGAGCAGGGGGAGAAATGTCCTAGTCAACAAAAAAGAAAAGAAAAAAAAGGGAAATTATCTAGTTAATAATATACGTAACAGAGAAAAATTTTGGAGGGTTAAGAAATTAAAATAAAGTTAAAATTTTCTGAAACCTTAATATGATTCCAAGTTGAACCTTATTATCGTACATATTAAATTTGAGCACATGATAAACAGACGCATGGTTCAAATTAATACCTTATTAAAGATGAACCAAATTTTCTCAGAGCGTAATTGGTTTTATGTAACAGCATACCTCATTTGTGTTCTCTTTGGCTTAATACTGTAACAGCATAATGTTTTTTTTGGCAGGATTGCTACAATCAACAATTTGTGGAGAAAGTAGAAAGACCCACTGATAGTACCTTATCTTCAAAGCAATACACTTACTTTTTCAACAAAAAGATCAAATATATATGGGATCAACAACAGGTCAAGTTCTATAAAGTAAGGTTAGTGAAACATCTTTAATTTTTCTTTTTTGTTTCAAATAAATTTAGGTAGCACTGAAAATTAGGTAACTAAACTACAAACTGTTATTTTTTTAATAAACCAGCAAATTAAGATATTTAAAAATTGAGTTATTAACTTCGCGCTTAATTATATTTTCAGCTACTTTTTTGTTCTACCATATAACTAATTTATTGACTAATACATTAAGATGTTTAATATTTCAGCTTTTAATTTTCGAACTTAATTATGTTTTCAGCTGCCTTGTTCTACCAGATAACTAATTTAGAGACTAGTATATTAAGATGTTTTATAATTCAGCTTTTAATATTTAACTTAATTATATTTTCAGCTGCTTTGTTCTACCAGATAACTAATTTATTGACCAATATATTAAGATGTTTAATATTTCAGCTTTTAATTTTCGAACTTAATTATGTTTTCAGCTGCTCTGTTCTACCAGGTAACTAGATTATAGACTAATATATTAAAAAGTTTTATAATTCAGCTTTTAATTTCTCAAGTCATTATATTTTCAGCTGCTTTGTTCATCCTGATAATTAATTTACAAACTAATGTATTTAGATATTTAATAATTCTGCTCTTAATTACTCAATTAATTGCATTTTCAACTACTCCATTCGTAGGGGAGAGTGGTGTCAATTGTAACATTTTTTACTTAACTATTTTTAACTAACAAAAAATCCAATATATTATTAGTATTAATTGACAGACGAGTAAAGTAGACTATCCTCTACTAGAAAAAAAATTAAATAACTGATTTTAAATATTATTATATTAGTTATTAACAATTTTTGACAGTCGTGCACTTGNTCATCCTGATAATTAATTTACAAACTAATGTATTTAGATATTTAATAATTCTGCTCTTAATTACTCAATTAATTGCATTTTCAACTACTCCATTCCTACTGAAAGGAGGAAGAACTCATTAAATAACCTCTCAATCATCTTTAAGGAATTTTCACAAATAAACTGTTTGGAGACAATGTGGGCCAGAGGCCCAGGATTTGAATCCCAGGTATCGATAGGTACGAATTTGGTATTCTGCCAGTACCAAACACAGTGCTGGTGCAAAATATCCCAAGTTTCGTAAACGGATCATGGGTTTTCCTTCTTTGTGCAACGCAAATAAGGATTACGGTAATCAAAAAGCATTCTACTAAGGCTAGTTTGTCCTAATGCTTGACCCAAAAATACTCTTGGATCGAGTACTTTTCAATAATATTACATTAATTCTATTCTCAAAACATACTTTATAATACTCTATTTTCCTATAATTTTCAATTGTCAAAGCTTATTAAGTAAAAAAAAAAGAAATCTAGAAAACGAAAATGTTCAAGTATAAAATTTATTAACCGATCCCATCCCCACTCCACCTGTTTCGGTTTGTATGAAGAAAAAAAAACTAGCCAATCTTTGAATCGATGATATAGCAATTACCTCAGAAACCTTAACAAACTACAAAAATAGCCATGTATCATAAATCAGATTTCAATTTGATCTGAATTCGATCATCAGAAACTGAAGATCTTGTTTAACATTCATAATTTTCCCCAGAAGATACAAATCAAAATTAAAATGGTAGAAACGGAAAAAATTGTCTCAGAAACCTTAACTAACTACAAAAATAACCAACGATGCATCATAAATCAGATTTTAATTAGGTCTGAATTCGATCATCATAGAAGAGCTGAAGATCTTGTTTAACATTCATAATTTTCCCCAGAAGATATAAATCAAAATTAAAATAATAGAAACGAAAAAAATGCAGAGTTATATTTGTTTAAGAAAAGAATTAATAAATGTTTATCCAAATCATGTCTGAAAGTACTTAATGCATAATTGGTTGGATTTCTTTAATGAAATAAAGATCTCCAAATATTTAAAACCTAAAGATGGCTAAAGGAATTCACTGACTAAGCAACTGATATTGCTTGAAGAGCATTGTTATATTTCTAAAAAAAAAGCTTTTAAAATCTTATATTGTATTTAAAGTTTTTGATGTTTATTAAATAAAAGAGAGCAGGGAACGCAGCCGGTTAAGAAACCGCTTTGGGGGTCCCACTGGTGGGGGGTTGGAGATCGCGAGTTCGATTCGGATAGCCATCTAAACAACCGAAGTGTAGGAGCAGAAAAGAGCAGGTTTGATCTGTTGTGGCTGAGGGTTTTCTCGTTAATCGTAGTATGGAAGTATATAGAGAGAGGGGTACAAGCTCAGGCGCTGTCCACGTCGTCAGAACGTGGTCAAATTTACGTGACACTCCTATCATGGTTGTTAAAATATAGACATTGAAATGGGCTAGGTGTCTGGTCATGGCTGGGTGATGTGCTTATTTAATAATGATAAAGAAAAAACAATAAGAGAAATTATTTTTAGAAACTTATGTGTCTAAATAATTATTTTCAGTGGTCTCCAGATAAAAAATTGTGCCAGTTTTCATAAACTTGCTGATGGCTTACACACAACTGAAGCAGTATTTCGATTGCAACATTACGGACGAAATTCTATCTTCGTAGAAGTACAACCAGTTCTCAAATTAGTTTTAAGAGAGGTAAACACAGATTAAAATCATTTTTTCTTCTTCATATCTTGGAATGTTTGTTTACTTTAAATACATAGTTTCAAATTACCATTTAAGTATCACATCAACACAAAAAAAAAGCAGTTGCTACATAAAGAAATTGGTCCTGTTCTGCCACATTTAGGCACATTGAAAACTTAAATGTATAATGAAAAATAGTAAAACAATTTTGACATTTGATTGTGGATATTAATGAACTATTGTTAAAAAATGTCACTAGAACACATAAAATGTAAATTTATTGTTTGTTCTATGAATTTATGAGCTATGCAATATTTGAATTGGAACACACAATACCGATCATGCCTTGCTTTAATCATTAATAATAATCTTAAAATTCTGCAGTGAAGCAAAGGGAAACAAATAAGTTTCAAAGAGAAACAAATATGTATGAAGAAGAAACAAGATGCATCAAGAAAGTAAATATTTTTCCGTGAAAGTGAATTATTACACAAGTCAAACAGCTGAGAGAGTTACAATATTTTCACACTCATATTTATGCTGCATTCCTACTTAAACAAAAATTTCACTTTCTTTATTTTAATAGAAATATTTAATATTTTAAAACAGTTAAAATATTAAGAATTGTATTGATACTGAAAGCTTTCGCAAATTACATAGTCTATTTCAATATAAAATTTATAGAGACTTATAACAACTTTAGTGGTGCCCAACCTTTATTTTGTTTCATAGCATTTAATAACTTAAAATTTTTTCTGTGAGCCACAGATATATTTTGCTTTTAATATTTCAAATAAAAAGATATTTTTGAATTAGTTGTAAAAATTATATGTACTATTTTTCAATATTAAATGAAAACAAATTTAAAAGTTTCGTATAGATCACAGAACTACTAAGTCAGAAGAATTTTTTTTTTCAGAATAAGTAAATTATATAATATTTGAAACGAGTTACAGTTTCGGCAACGTGGATATAGCGTCATTTTTCGAAAATCGGCTTCTGTCTATGTAGAATTCTTCCCAAATAACTTACATGTTCTGCATATATAGCGAATTTCCCAGAAAGATAAAATCAACGAATGTTTCAATGAAGGTAAAACTATAAATTTTCCTATAGTACATTTCTTAGAAGTTCAGAAACGAAGGTCCACACATGTGGATCGAGGTAATGAAAATGTTAAGCTTTGAACATGGTCTTTCAAAATTTTATCATAAATTTGAGCAAGTTAAATCTAAGAATTTAAAATGCGTTTGGATGTAATTAGATGGATCTAGTGTTTTTACTTTATCTTTAACCATTGTAAGTACTGGTAAATAATTCTGAGAAGGATATTGCTTTTCATGTTGCAGTTCTGACAACATCTTTATCTTTCTCTCTCAAAAAAAGAAAAATATTTTTTGAGATAAGAACTTTATAGTGGTGATACATTATTTTCGTGAGTAATTTTTTGTTTACAAAACCTATTACTATAGCTAAGGAATGACCGCGAATATTTGTTTTATGACGAAAGATATTGAAAGACTGAAAGAGACATACCCACAATCGGGCATTTTTTATCCTCAGTTTTTGATATGAATTGATTCAATGTGTGAGTAATTCTTTAATTCGTTGTCATTTCGAAAAAACTGGGTGATAAAGGAAAAATAAAATAATATGAGTAGCGCATGATTTACAACATTCTTTAAAAGTTAATCATTGACAGAAGACATTTTTTTCACAATTTTTTTAAATAACATGATAACCTTAAGCAGTACAGAAGGGAAGTACAGTAAAACCTGTTTTTGTGCGGTCCTTTTTTATGCGATTTTGTTTTTGTGCGATTTCTTTTGTGCGATTTTTTTTATGCGGTATATGAATCTTAGCGGCGTTAGCACCAGTTTAATGTTCCTATCAATGTACATATACATGTTGTGGACGAACTCTGATTACGTGTTCTCCTTGACAATGATGTATCTGGATGTGCGATGCTCTGCTCATTTATTTTAAACAGTCTCCTGACAAGGCAGAGTCAGTAACGTGCATGCGTGGGTCACTCTGAAATTTTTGAGATAGAACTAGATTTTTAAAGTTACACTTACAAAATTTTAGGTGTGTTCAGAGTAGTCTCCTCGATTAGCAGCAAACTATTTAACGTATAATTTGAAAACTTCTCCATGTATATGCACAATGAAGAATTAAATATTTTTACAATTTCTTTTGGTCTAATTTAATTATTTAATTTAATTGAAAGCATTCTCTCATCAATTTCATAAATCATTGATGTATTTTCTAATTCCGACTTTTTTTATGCGGTCCCTATCCACCGGATAAAATTTTTTTTAGATAGTATGTCGTACAGAGTTGTTTATTATATGTAAGAATTTATAAAATTTCCGAATACTTTTTTGTACGATTTCTTTTATGCGGTCCCTATCCACAACACAAAAACAGGTTTTACTGTACTCTAATTCCCTTCCAGGTTCCAGAGCTTCTTGAATAATTTAATTCGTTTAAAATTATTTCCGAGTAATAACACAACTTTAATAGAAAAGTATGATTCCTTACGAAGTATGATATAGCATAAATGTATGCCATAGAATAAAAACATGAACTGTAAAAAAGTGTGAAAAAATAATAAAAGAGCACAAGCAACGAAAACGCAAAAAAAAAACCAATGAGCATAAAAATTAGGTTTAATTTAAAAAAAAAAGAAAAAACCTGATACATCAATAGGTAGAGATGAGTGTTGTGCCTTGAATCAGTGTCAGCATTTGTGGCATTTTGTGGTAATACAGAAAATTAGTTCCACACTTTTCCTTATCTTAAATTTATTATTTTTAATAAATACAAAAAATAATTAGATGAATGAAAATAAGAGTTAGTATAGTAATCATAAATAAAAAAGTAAAATGCTTTTTTCTGATTTCCCCCCCTCTTCGTTTTTCCAATGTCATACAACCAATGTTTACAACCATTTTCGTTTAGAAAAACAAAGACAAAAATAACTACGATATTAGAAAAGGAGTAACTGTTATTTGGTTCGAAGAACCCCTACTTCTATCCAAGTAAATTGTAAAAATAAATAGCATATGTAATAAAATATAATTGTTTTATTTGTACCAAAAATCTTCTTAAAATTTATTAATTCTATCAGATTAATCTTAGATTGAGAAAAAAAGTATGTTAAAAACTACTGGAATGTGGTAAAGTTAACCTTGTTTCTGGCTCTATGGGAGTATTAAAAAGTTTGGTAATTTTCCCCGAAGCACTTTGGCAATGTTTTTAGTAAAATTAACAATAAACTACAGTTTTATAATGTGTGATAAAATTCGAAAAACGTGGCAAACTTTGATAGTTTTATCATAATACATTAGAGCATGGTATTAAAAATATTTATAGGGTAAAATTTGCTTTTCAGTTTTGTATTTTGTACTAAATGTGTGGTAATGGGAACTATAGTATAGAACCAAAATTTCTGGTAAGCCGTTACCATTTGAACAAAAAAGTAGCTAAATGAATTTTTTGAATACCGTATATTTTAATTTTTGTTACCAAATTATATATATTTTTTTATTAGGAATGTTATTACCATACAATACGGTGACTTTACCAGAAATTTTTACCAAACCTTTTACCAGAACAGAAGTATTTCTACTGTGTAAAAGCACGACGAAAATAAATAAAATAATATCTACTATAATAAATTTAATATAGATTACAATATTTATATTTTTTTTCCAGATCAGGAGCCCATTTTATATTTATCAAATGTTTATTGTTGTTGTGTGGATGATTCAAGTTTATTATCAATTCGCTTTATGTATCGTTTTGTTGTCCATCATTTCTATCACGGCAACGGTATGGGAAACAAGAAAGGTAAATTAATTCATGATTAGTTAAAAAGGACTAAACTATTTAAACATTTTGAACATATTCAGTTAATTTCATTTCTTAATCTCTTTACATGTTTCAGCAAAGTAGAGCTCTGAAGGAAGCTGTTCGAACTGATGCTATTGTGACACTTTTACGTGATGGGAAAGGTATGGGAATTATGGTAAAAAGTGTAAATTTGTTGTATTGTTAAAACACCAATTATTATTTTCCACGTTAAACATTATCATTGGCGTATCATACACAGTACGAAATTTCGGATCAAATTACTGCAAAAAGTGCCAGCACACACAAGGCCGGTACTTTTTATCGTAAAGTCCATTTTCACCGAAACTGAACAATAATACGATAAACATCTTACTTAACAATAATACGATAAACAGTAATTTTTACAATAATATTTATTGTAAAATCACTGAACCATTGTAAAAATTAATTTTCAGAGTAATATTTATTGTAGAATCACTAAACTACCGTAGTTAAAAAAATATAACTGTAAAAATTACGGTATAATATTTTACGGTAAAAATGAATTTCAAGGTAAAAAGGATTTTACGGATGATTAAGCCAAAGTGCTGGTACATTATACCGGGGTCTGATCTTAGTAGTACCTTATACCGTTGCTTAATTATTACTGTGAAATCCATTTTCACCGAAACATCTTATAGAACAAAATTCCAACAAACCGTAATTTTGACAGTAATATTTATTGTAAAATTACTATATCTCTGTAGTTAAATAAATATTACTGTAAAAATTACGGCATAATATTTTAGTGTAAAAATAGATTTACGGTAAAAAGGATTTTACGGATGATTCACCCATAGAGCTGGTACCTTATACTGTAGTTTGATCCAGAATTTTTTAGAATTTTTTGTAGTATTTTTGTATGGCGAAAAATTGTTCTTGTCTGAGTCCCAAGTAATTATATTTAAAAATATTTAACTTCTCGAAACGCTGACCAGTTTCTCAAGCAACGGGGTTTTGTAAAATCCTACTACCACAGCATATATTATATTAGGTATACTATATTAGGTATATTAATAGACTAGGTACCTATTACCTCAATACCAATAGTACCTGTTATCACAATTCATTAAGCATCATTGGCGCCTATAAAAGTTTGGGATTTATTTAAAGGGAGAATAAGTAAATTAATCTTTTATGATGTTCTAATTAAGTTTCCGCTGCTTATAAACTATTTTTAAAGCTATAGCGATAAAAAAAAACATTTGTAAACTCTTCTTATAGCTTATGCTTATAACTTTTTTAAATACTCTTGTAATTCTATAACTACTTCATAGATTTGCAGAAATAATGTGACAGTAAAATTTTCAATTGAAAAATGAATTATTTTTAATTATTATTTAAATATTAATTTCTATTGTAATAAATGATGGTCAAATTGCTAAGATGGGCTCGGGGCCAATGAACGTTATTGAATGAAAATCGAATTAAAGTTTTTGAACACATGAAAAGTTGCTAGGGAAGATGTAAATAATGATTTACATTTATCTTTAAATTTTAATTTATAATAATTATAACGTATAGTATTTATAATTTTCAGAAGTTCAAAAATCCTCAGATGAGTTGGTACCGGGAGATGTTATAGTACTTCCAGAGACGCAATTCATTATGGTGTGTGATGCAGTGCTTCTCTCTGGAAATTGTGTCGTTAATGAAAGCATGCTAACAGGTAATTTATTTTCCTAAATATGATAAAATGATATTAAACATCAAATTTAAATGAGTTAGTTAAAAACCCAGTTATGCAATTATCTGTTAGGAATTATTCAATTATTACAATTATTTGTTATTGAAATCTTCAAGAATGATTTAAAATATTACGAAAACATTTTAAATCATTCTTGAAAGATTCCGGTCTGCGTAAGTTCATTTGAATTCGCTACTCGCTTTATAATTTTTGTTTTGTGTTTTGTTCTGTATTTTCTTTAAATTTTAATTTTTTTTTCTTGATATGTTTTATTTCGTATATATTTTTTACTTAAAGTGCACTATTTTCATTTTAATTTTTCTAGTGTTCCTCACACTGATATATTTTGCTTTGGCTATATTGATACAATATTAGAAAGCACTCGTTTTTGCGGATATAAATCGTCTGAGCTGATGAAGAGATTTTATCTTTTCTTTATTTTATTTTCTGGATTATTAATATTCTTTTGAAATAAATAAAATCATTGAAATATTTTTAAAAATATTTTATTTTAATAATTTTTTTCTTTTTAAAAAACATCTTTCGGTATAATTTAATGCGATATTTCTGAATAAAGAACAATGCTTTAAGGAAACTTTAAGGCATTTCTCAAGTTGGAATGGAGTAGTAGAAAAAAGCATTTGCTGGTAAAGGCATTCTGTAAACACAACTTCTTATGGAGATGCTAAAATAGATATAGGATGATGTTAGCAAAACACTTGCCGTTCGAGGGCATCCAAGCGACATTACGACTAGAAAATAAAAGTCTTTTTTTTCTAGTTATGAAAACTAAACACTTTTGTGTTGACTGTATGCTATTGTGTATTTATTTATAGTAACCCTAGCAACAAGTAAACATAGCAGCGATTTTACCTTTGGCCCCAGTCGGGCTCAATATGAGTCCTATATGAACATGCACTGAGGGACCAGCATTGGGATGTTCAGATTTTTTAATAATTGTCCAAGAATGACCTATATCAGGTCTACATTCGCCAATATAGAACCTATATTGGCTAAATAATGGATATGAAATATTGGGAGAATCTGACGATTATATATAGGATCGATATTGGTAGTAAAGTGGCTGTAAAATATTAGGTGAATCGAAAAATTCTACATAGGGTCAATATCGAAAAAATAACGGTCTTTTGAACCCTCACTGAGCCAAGATTCATGAATATTGGCCCAATGATGGCCCAAGTTATTTTGCTGCTAGGGAATAGTTAAAGCTAATCATTCATACTTGATGAAATTTTAAAATCGACCGAAGGTGATCGCACCTTTTACCACACTTAAAAAAAAAACTTGAAAATTAAGCTTGTTTTGATGTGCATGTTATAGGAGAGAGCACGCCCATCACTAAAGTGCCCATAGCAAACGACATCAGTTCTCACTACGACACGGCCAATAACAAGAGAAACACTTTATTTTGTGGGACTGAGGTTTTGCATAGCAGAAATGTGGATGGCTCTGGTATAAAAGCTATTGTGTACCGTACTGGTAAGTGATTATTAATGTGACAAAATTTTTATTTCATTTAATTCACTTGATTTCAAGTGTGAGAAATGTAAGCTTTGCAAAAATGTTTTTTATTGTTTTTAATTTACGTTATAGCACGTTAATTTACGTTAACTTCAAATAGTTTTTTTTTTAATGAAATCATTAAGTTACACTAAAAGCAATACAGAAAGATAAACAACAACTTTATTCAATAAATAAGGAAAGTAAAATACAAATATGTTAAAAAAATTTATGATAAAAAAATAAGTAAAAAAATAGTTCAGGTGAGAAAAAAAATGAAATGCAATCGTGTTTTATCTAATAAATAGTGAAAAATCGAAGTAAAAAAATTAAAAATGTTAACTACAATAATAATGCACTTAAAATATGTAAAATACCAATAGAATGCAAAACATGATTTTAAAAAGAGTAGAAAAAACAATTAATACTTAAGGCATATATTTTCAGACGAAAAAATATGAGAGAAAAATAAAAATCTTACAAAAATTGTAATTGCTAAAATTTCAATTTTATTTTGTGGAAATCCAGGGGGAAAATTATGCAAAATCTTTGGATAAATACAGAATAAAGAAAAAACATCTGATTTGGTAAAATTTCACCATTACAGATGATTATGCTGTAATTTAAATATTGTATTTTTCACATAAAATAGAAACTTGATAATGTATAAATTTTATTTTCAACTAAAATTATGAAGTTAGAAAAAGTCGACATACCTTGAGCTTTAAAAAATAGACGCCCGTTTTCAAGACTCAGACGTGAATGAGAAAAATAAAGCAGATTTGAAACAGAAAATGTGTAATTGTCAACAAAAAAGGAAAATAAAAGTCTTTTTATGATGACTTAATGGTTTGAAAAATGAGTTTTGTATAATCAAGTATATTTATCCGTTTCAGTTTCTTGGGACTATTCAAAGATAATATATTCATATTAATTTTTCCTGAAATAATTGCATTTAAATATTACTTTTAGGTTTTTCTACTGCAAAAGGGGAGCTTGTTCGAGCTATTCTCTTTCCTAAGCCTGTTAACTTTAAACTTTATACTGAATTATTCAAATGCATGATCATTTTCTTCGTTCTTGGTAAGAATCAAATGTTATCAAAATTTTACTTTAATTTGTTAATCAAATCTCTGAAATCTTACAAGATATTTTCTTCTTTTTAAGGTATTCCACCAATCATTTACACTTCCATTATATGGGTTCATCTCGGAGTAAGTACTAGAAACATGATTCATTTCATTTCAAATTTTTTTGTTTTCGACTTCAGAAGATAAGTCAAGAACTTATGTTTAAACCCCATGAATAAAAAAAAAATCATTTTGAGTTCTTCCAAGTGCTTTTTTAGCTCAGTTAATACAATGCAATGTATTTTAAAAATAAGTTGAAAGCCTTGATTTAATTTTATTAAGCAAAAAATTTTTTTTATGAACCCATTTTCGGCCCAAGATGCGCAAAAGCACCACTTCAGTTAATATTTTTTATTGGCATTGTGTTTCCTCAATTTTATTTTTCAAATATTTTCAAGAGTTGGAAAAACTTCGGTAACAGTTTCAGTTTGAAAGTTTTCAAACTACTCTAGTTTTTTTAAAACTTGAAACGGTTATGTTTATGGGATATTTATGCTGCGTATGGAATGAGTGCCATGGTTGGCATTCCAAGTTTGAAAATGGAATGTTTGAGTTCAAAGACGTATTTTATTCTGGTCGTCCAGTTGTGTTCGAGGAAGAGCCTTCATACCATTTTTTGCATGAATCTTCGCATCAAAAAGCAAGGAAATTGATAGAGAAAATGTAATATTCCTACACTTTGAGCTCCATAAAAAGGTTGAAAAAAAATCCGGAACTTAGTTGCCAATCCTTGCTTAACTGTTTTATTGAACTTTGCTGTTCTTTGTTGAACTTTGTTCTTATAATGTCGAGGAAAAGCGTGTTATGTATTGGCATTAAGTTCAAATTCATGCAAATAAGACAAAATATGTATGAAACGTACAGGACAAAGTTTTTGCTGGAGTCTTTGATGTTTACATATTTATGTGAACATCAAATTTATGTGAAGATTCGTGATGGCTCTGGGGATAGAGAGTTTGCCTTTCATTGAGGAGAACAGGGTTTGAATACCAGCGATTATTGGTCGATACGAATTCCGCATCCAGCTTGCTTCGACCACAGTGCTGACGTAAAATATCTTCAGTGGTAGACGGACCATGGGCCAGAGTCCCCATCCAGTCAGGCTAACCGAGGAAGGGATTCATGGTTTTCCTCTCCGTGAAACTCAAATGCGGGTTAGTTCCATAAAAAAAAAGACTTCCACGAAGGCAAACTTCTCCCAATCCAGGAGTTCCATTGTCTTCCGGATTGGGTTCAAAATTACAAGGTTACGTAGTTGAACACTAGTTGTCGTAAACCCCAAAATCGGGTCGGCTGCTCAACGACGGTTATAAAATAAAATAAAATAAAAATATTTATGCAAAACCCTAATGTATAATTATTAAATATGTTTTACACACATATTTCTTTCATATTTCAAGGCTTATACTAGAGACACTATCATCATTGTTGTGGATGTACTTACATTCCTTGTACCACCTGTTTTGCCAGCTGTACTTACAAGTATCAATGCACATGCTCAAAGAAGATTAAGAAAACACGGCATCTATTGTCTGAACTCTCGCTACATCAATTTCTGTGGGGGCTTGGACGTCGTATGCTTTGATAAGGTAGTTATTATTATTATATATATTTTAGGTAGTTATAATTAGTATCTATCATTGTTAAGGCTACACGTCATTATTCTCAAAAATGCTTGTATTAAATAATGAATAATCTATGAACCGTAAGGGACAAACCATGTAGTTATGAGAATTACCGTAAAAGTGGAAAAAAGGTTCATGTCCTCAGAACTGATTTTCTGTAGCTGTAGTTTATTTGCGTCGCACGAGAGCTACACAATGGGCTATTGGCGACGGTCTGGGAAACATCCTTGAGGACGATCCGAAGACATGCCATCACAATTTTGATCCTCTGCAGAGGGGCTGACACCCCTCTTCGGTAGCCCAACGACTTGCGCACGAAGTAGAGCACTTTATGGTAGAACAGTTTAACGAGGACCGATACCATACACTCTCGGTTCCTTGGTAGACTGATCCAAGTGGCCACCCACCCACACACTGACCGCACAGCAGTACTGCTTGACTTCGGTGTTCTACTAGGAACCATGTCTTAATGATCAGCCAACAGCGGGACCAGAACTGATTTAAGTTGAGTAAATAGCAAAAGTATAAACAGAACCTGAATCTGTGAGAGAAAGCGCTTGATTTTTCTCAGCTAAAATGATCGTCTAATTACTTTATAAGGCATTAGCTACAATGCCTTTTACTCAAGTGAAGAAAAAGGGATTTAAAAAAAATACTAATTAAATGGGATTCAGAGGAAGAATTTTGAATAAAATGTCAAACTTAATTTAGTTAACTTTAAAAATTATTGTCAATAAATATTTTCCGTCCCCTTCCCACAAAAAAATCTATATAGCACTCATCAAGTTGCAATTGAACAACATGTTTTATTTTTTAAGACTTATTATTTCAAGTATTGCTTATCAAGTATTGCTTATTCTAAAACATTTTAGTTTTTAACGAATCCTTTTCAAGAATGTTAAAATTTTGATAAATGCTTTTCCAGAACATTTTAAATTCTATATAAATTGAATTTTAGTATTTTAATTCATTTCATCCATAATTTTTCTAGACTGGAACTCTCACAGAAGATAGTTTAGATATTTCTGGAGTTGTACCAATTGATGATGGCAGGTAAATTTTGTTTCGAATTTAATTGAATCTGAAACTGACAATAAAAAGAACCAAACTTGCAAGCAGTGCAAAATATTGAGAAATGTGCATAATTTTACCCCATTTTTAAGTAAAAATACTTTATAACACAGCTTTATGACATTTGTTAAAAATTCATTCGTTTTGCAAAAATTTACTTAATTTATCTTTATGAATAAATATTTCCAAAATAGGTAACTTATTTAACGCCATCAATTCAATTAAGATCGATTAACTTTCTACAATAATGTACCCATTTCTTCTGTAAAGAGAAAAATAAACTGATGGTTATTGCTAAACAAACAAACAAAAAACTAATGCTTGTTACTTGTTTTTATTTTTATTAAAAAATTCGTATAAAAATAAGTTTTTAAATATTTAGAAACGCAAGAACTTTTAGTTTAAACTTTGACTATTAAACTTTTTTTAAACAACATTTAAATTTATATTACTAATGGATTTCTTATGGCATTTAATTAATTGATTAAAAATTTTCATAAAAAAAATATGTAAACGCAAACAACTAACTCGTTAGATTTCATAACTCAATTTAAGCATCAAGTTCTTTATTAGTACTGTAAATGAACAAACAGCAATAATTAAATGCTGAAATTAGCTGAAATTGAATTCTGTCATGAATAACTATTTTAAAAAAAATTTCTATTGAATGCTGTGCTACTCACAAAAAGTGATTTTGCTTAAAAAAATATATGTATATATATCTATATATATATATACATATATATATTATTTTTGATAAAAAATGGGGTAGTTCAAAATGCGATAGTATTATATTATTCTTTAATTATTGCTTTTCCTTAAACTTGAATTTTGTTCATGGGCTTTAAAATATAAATTTTAGGCTTTTTACATTCTTGCGTGCAAAAAATTATAATCCAATATTTTAAAGTTAGTGTTTTGTTTGTAAGATATAAAATATCGCATTTTATTTCATTTGCATGAAATTCTGCCTCGTGGTATTTTATTTATGCCAGATTGCCCCGTAATAATTTGATTGAACGAGATTCTGCCTCAAGGTAGTTAGAACGAGATTCTGCCTCAAGGTAGTTAGAACGAGATTCTATCTCAGGGTAGTTAGAACGAGATTCTGCCTCAAGGTAATTAGAACGAGATTCAGCCTCAAGGTAGTTAGAACGAGATTCTGCCTTAAGGTAGTTAGAACGAGATTCTGTCTCAGGGTAGTTAAAACGAGATTCTACCTCAGGGTAGTTAGAACGAGATTCTACCTCAGGGAAGTTAGAACGAGATTCTGCCTCAAGGTAGTCAGAACGAGATTCTGCCTCGAGGTAGTCAGAACGAGATTCTGCCTCGAGGTAGTTAGAATGAGATTATGTCCCATTATATTTTTTATGAGTGAGATTCTGTCACGTAGTATATTGCTCTGTTCTGCTCAATGATATTTTGTTGAGTGATAGATCTGAAAATTTAGTTTTTCAGTAAGTAGCCAGTGACCAGTAGACTCTGATGACTTATTAGTCACCTTTTCCTCAAACTTAATGATTCAGTGCCTGATATTGATGATCATTTTCATTTAATAGCCACTTTGCCAACTTTTTCTTATTCTTGTATTAAATTTCATTTAAAAAGAAAAATTAATATTAGACATAATCTACGGCTATAAAAAGTAACTAATAAGAATAAAAATGCTATTAATGTGTGCCAAAATTTAGCGAAAACATACTGACGGAATTTTTAAAATTATTTGGGAAGGTAAAATGCATTTAATGTATACATTACAACTTTTAAATATGTGAATTGTTAAAGAACTCTCTTTCAACGTGAATTTTTTTACCACAAATTGATGGATTCTGAAGGATCAAAATTTTGAGTTGAGACATTGAACAGTTTAATGAAAATTGTGTTTGCCAGTTACTTTCTGCATTGCTGTACTTTTATCATTGAACAATTTTCTTAAAAAAGAGGATAGTTGTTTATTAAGATTAAGTCGTAACTTTTTCTTGTTCACTCTCCGCGTGGTGGATGGAGAATGGTTATTTTCAGGTCTATTGAGTGATATCCCCGATAGTTTGACTCAATAAATTTTTCCTCTTCTTTTATGTTTTGAGTAATGATAATTTTAAAAAAAATATACTCTAGTAATATTATTTAAACGTTTTGCTGGGTAGAAACGCAATCGTGGAGCAACACAATATCACATACATACATATACATATCCCTCTTCACTCCGAATTGGAGCATAGGGCTTCTATCATAGCTTTCCATCTCGCTCTATTTGCAGCTAGATATTGCCTCTATTGTTTACAATTCGTTTACAGTCGTCCTGCTCCAAGTATTTTTAGGACTTCCTCTTTTTCTATTTCCCATAGGATTCCAATAAAAAAAACATGTTTTACCTTGAATTTTTCAAGTTTACGTAGAATATGTCCCATCCATTTTCACTTACGTTTTTTTAATTTCCAGATCAATTCGTTTCCGTTTTGCTTTTCTGAAGATTTCTGCATTGCAAATTTTATGGAACCACTTGATACGCAATATTCTTCTTAAACAAATGCTAATAAATACTTGAAGCCTTTCATGCTATTTTTTATCGCAGTACCATGTCTTGAATCCATATAGTAAGACAGATTTAACATTAGCATTGAGAATTCTAACTTTTGGTTGGTTGTTTCCAATGCCATTCACCCCACGGTCAAGCCTGCTTGGTGAAACCGAGCAAATTTAAGGCAGAGTGTCCGTTTCTTGTTTTTCAGTGGCGTCATCTATGGCCAAGAATACGACTCCTGCCACACCCGTTTTATAGGGTGGACCAATTCATACATCCATTCATTCATCCACCGATCGTAATTTCAACCTGAATCAGAGAACGATCTATCTCCAATGTTAGAATTTGTTATGTTTTTTTTTTTCAAATTTATTGAGAATAACGTAACTACTTAAAACAATATCACAGCTAATCTAAAGAACATTTTATTCAAATGCCAATGCACTGACAAGTTTCATCAAAATTTGTAGGTTTGAAAGAGCGGTCAAGCATTTAAATCATTTGCCCAACAGTCCGTTGATGAAGGCTATGGCCACCTGTCATTCTCTATCGAAAGTCAATGGAAAACTTCTTGGTCATACAGTGGATGTTAAAATATTTGAAGCTATAGGGTGGGTGAGTATCTAATATTATTTAACGCAAAATATGAAATGATTTTAATATAAACTACTAATTGATAACTAAAAATTTGGTTTATTCAAAGAAATATTGCAGTGTGATTGTGTCAAGGAAAAAGATTTTACTTCCCTCATAGACATAGTACTTTAGTTTTGTAATATTAAGTATAGCCCAAAACAAAAAGTGAAAAACTAATAACTTTAGAAGTGAATAGTTTCTTTAGAATTATGTAGCGATAAAAAGGAGTTTTGCAGAAAATTAGAAAAAATTGGATTCTTTGACAAACCCGTTGGTTCACAAAAGTTATACTTGCCAATTAAAGTTATATTGCAGGTATGATTATGTCAAGGAAAACGATTTTACTCCACTCATAAACATAATACTTTAGTTTTATAATATTAAACATAGCCCAAAACAAAAAGTGAAAGAATAATAACTTTAGAAGGGAATACTTCTATTAGAATAATGTAGCGATAAAATGAAGTTTTATAGAAAATTAGAAAAAAATTGGATTCTTTGACAAACCAGTTGGTTCACAAAAGTTATACTTGCCATAAATGTATGAAGTAACAAAGACAAAAAAAAACTATGAAAACGGGAATATACTAGCAAAACAACTCTCCATTCTTAATAAGAAACATGTCTCAAAATAATCTTGCATTGCAAAAAGTTTTAAAAATCGTAAATTGTTCACTTTTATATTTGCAACACTTTTGCTAATGACTTTGCATGTTTTGGTCAAATGTATTTTGCTTCTTACCATAACTTATAATATGGCATATCTGGATATTTTCAAACACTGTATGTGTAAATGTATATGTTTATTGTATATTTAAATACTGTATATCTGTAACTGATGAACAAGTTTTGATGTGATTAAGTTTTAAAAGAACACATATTGCAAAAAAGAAATATATATATAAAAAATTCGCAATATGTCCAATATTAGCTGAAATTATGCTGTCACATTTGCATAATTCAGATTAAAAAATTTTGTTCTAAAATTTTTTTGTAAATATTTCATGATGTCTACTGGTTTTTTAAAAAATGACGTTTTATAAAGGGAATCCGTGAATTAAGTCTTGAGTGAATCTTGCAGAGCAAAAATTATTTTAAAAAATATCTTAAATTGCCCACTCTTATTTTGTCAATACATTTTGCACTGAAATTCGTTTGTTTCGGACTAATAAACTGTGTATCAAAATCTTTCAGCAAATTTTTCTTGTTATATATAGATACTTTCCAACCAAATTTTGCTCACTTTTTAATGTAAATTAAGTTTTATATAAATTCCATTTTTCAAGAAATTATAAAAAATTATCAAAGTGTCCACACTTGTATTTAGCAATGCATTACTCTGAATTTCGTTTGTTTTGGACTAAACAACTCTGCTTCTAAATCTTTCTATAAATATTTCACGCCTTACATAGATATTTTTAAACAAATTGACGCTCGTTTTTTATAGTAAATTAAGTTTTATGAAAATTCCGTTTTCAAAAAATTATAAAAAAATTCTCAAATTGTCCAACCTTATATTAGCAATGCATTTGCTCAGAATTTCGCTTGTTTTGGGGTAAACAACTCTGTTTCAAAATCTTTCTATGAATATTTCTTGTTATATATAGGTATTTTCCAACAATTTGAAGCTCATTTTTTACTGTAAATCAACTCTTTTTTCTAAAAAATTATAAAAAATTTTCAAATTATCTACTATATCTCTACATCTAATCTACTATATCTAATTATCCACATTTGCTCTGAAATTCATTTGTTTTGGAATAGACAACTCAGTTCTATAATCTTTCAAAATATATTTCTTGCTATATATAGGTAAGAAGAA